AATTCATTATAACCTGCTGATGGCAGATTTACACAGAATAAGGAAGACTGAATATCACAACAGCTAGATAACTGGCATCTCCTCTATGCCAAACACTTTACTGCTTTCCCTAGCACACATTATGCTACCTACCTAAAATGAAATACAAATAAATTCACAAAAATATAATTACTGGAGGAACTCTGAGAAATGCGAATATAGCTTACCGAGGCAATAGCGCATCACTTGCAACCAGGCTGCAAAACAGGGAACAACTATGATTGCTGGTTTGAAAACTGTTGTCTACGTCTTTTGGTTTCCTAACTATAGGATTTATATGAAACTTTATTGCATAAAGACCATGAAGTCTCATTGACCAAAATATGTTTTTTTAGAATTGGAGACACAAACTTTCTCTCTATTGAAGTCTCATACATGAAAGCTAAAGGTTTAGCTAGTGTTTTTGTTAACATATTGCTGTATTTCTTTGAAAACAGCACAGTAAGTAAAGCAGAACTTTATCTTCAGAAGTAGCTCAGAGAAAATGGGCAAATTTAACATAATTCTTCCTGCATCCATCACTTCACTTTATTTAAAGACCCGGTTGATGTACAATGAATATGACAAGCTTTTCAGAAATTGGAATTTTTTATTAACTTTTTGTTAAGTTGCCTTAACTTCTAACAACCTTATGTAGAGACAAGTAATTGCATCATAAAACACCTAAAATACCAGCACAGACAGCATGCATCACTCCACCTGACTATTTCTGGGTAAATAAAATAAATTTTATTTTCTGTTTTTTTAAAAAAAAATAATAATGAAATGCATTTATTCCCTGGACTGACAGATATACCTAAGGTTGCAAGTTCCGGTTTAATTTACTTGATAATAAACTTCAGCAGGGGCACTGTATGTAATGCTCAAAGAGGAAATTAGCATGTCATTTACTGAACAAGATAATATTCACCAGATGTGTGGGTATCTTTTGTATTCTTCTCATTGCTTGGCTTTTTCACCTCTATTCTCAGCCCTTTATACCAAGAGAGAAACATGAATGCTTATCTGCAAACACACCTTTGTAGTTCTCATTTCCTATATAAATCAACAACTTGTTACAAGTGACAGAGCTGGCAATATTTTTCAAAATCCATGCCCTCAATTAACACCATTCTAGTGGCACCCATGCTAGGATGGATTTCTTCCCGTGTTTCTTTTAATGGGATGCAGAGTCACAAATTTGGACTGAACGAAGCCACAAATTGCTTCCCCCACTGCTTTCAATTGGCCTTTTGGTGAGACTCTCCAAAAATCTCTATTAGCATGTCATGTTTGTTATACCTTGTAGCAATATTGTCCAAGAGACAGAAGGAAGTTCTTAAGGTTGCGGTTTAGAAACAGCCAAATCTAGGGGGATTCCTGAGTTTGTTCTGTCAATATTCGCAGGCTTGAAATGTAGCCATTTCACAACCCAGCCTGCTGCTGTTTGTGCTCTCTGTGTGGATATTCCCCATACTGCCACTGAAGCCAAAGGATCAAGGATGAACAGTTCAGTGACTTCATCGCAGGAAGACTCTGGTGGGTCAGAAGTTTTTCACAGTGTACTAGCTGCAAAACTAAAGACCACACCTGCTAAGGGACTTCAGATGCAACTCTAAGCAATCTTCAAATATTTTCCTAAAAAATCTTTTAAAAGGCTCTTGCAGTTTCAAAACTTTATGGCTTTGTGACTATTTTCAAATTGAGAGTCAATTGCTTTGGCTGAAATGTTAATTATCTTCTTTGCATTCATATCCAGTAATTAACAAAACTATCCTTAGTGTGTGACTTCACCTGTGGAATGGTTGTGCTGGCTTGGTGATTGCTGTTCTAAGTAAACATAATATTTTTCTTAAGACAGCCTTAACTGCAGAGGTCATGTGCTGCTCCACACAGATGAGGGAACCAAATTGTCTTATTTCTTATTCTCAAGGATCTCTGAAACCTTTTCAGGCTAAACAGGCAATTAATTTGTTGAACTGAAATTCATTGTGTTCAAATTGCAAACATGCAACAAACAGTATATGAATCATATTTTGCTACTTTATGCAACAAAATAAATTTTCAGTTGAGCTCAGTACAACAACTCACACTGCCTAAGGGAGTGATTCCTTAACTCAGGGGATTGAGACAGATTCCTTTATAATCAATATTCCCCCAAGAGGGCAGAACACCGAGAATGAAGTTGAGCTAAAATGCTGATTAAACTGTGAATTTGGGATTATTTACTGGAGGAATTATTATTTATGCAGTGACCTGTCCTGTTAATTCAGATGTCTAAATGAGAAGCCTAAAGCTAGTATGACTATCACACAAATGACACAGTAAGCTAGGATAAATACCTGTGCACATATGGGTATGGCCGGGCATGAGATTTACACTATCTCCTCCAGATTTTCAAGGACCAGCAAGAATTCACTGGATGCTGCCAGCATCATGGCACTTTCCCAGGCTCAGAACCTTCTGTCAGGGCAAATCAGTTCCAGGATACCTGCCCTTCACAGAGAAAACACACATGTGCCTGGCTCTCACCTGCTTTCCCTGAATAGTTTGCATAGTGGCACATTCTCTAAGAAAGACAAGAGGAAGGTTCCAGGGATTTATACACCAGACATCTTCACAGTCCCTGGAAAGATCACAGAGTCTGTCTTTTTGGGATGCATTTCTAAACATGCGTAGAATAAAAAACTTAAAGCTGTAATCAGCATGGATTTACAAGGGACAAATGATGTTCAGAAAATCTGAGTGCCTCCTACAACAAAATGACAAGGGGAGGTCTGCAGATGAGATGTACCTCAGCTTTAGAAGGGTTTTGTCTCCATACTCCATGGCATTTTCAATTGGTAGCTGAGGAACTGTGGACTGGAAGAAATGGTGGTTAGATGGACAGAAAATTGACTGTACCTCTGGGCTCAAAGTGTGGCAATGAGTGGCTCAGCATCTGCTTGGTGGCCAGCAATGAGTAGAGTACCCCAAGGGTACTTGTTTGTATTGACCTAGATGATGACTTAGGATGTATCACCTACAAATTTATCAATGATACTAAACTACAGGGAGAGACTTGCACAATGAATGGCAGAACTTGAATCCACAAGGACTTTGATAAACTTGAGAACTGGGCCAACAGAATCTTCATTATGTCCAGCAAAGAGAAAAGCAAACTTCTGCTCTTGGGACAGTGTAAGCTCACACATGATTAAAGGATGAGTAGCAGTCCTGCTTGAAAAGAAGGTTAATGATGGATTCTAGGCTGAATACGCTCTTTCACTTTGAATAAGCAAACTGCAGATCAGGCTGTGTGAAGAGAAGTTGCTCAAGAGATATGGGGAAGTTGTTATTCCCCCCTTCCTGGAGCTCGTGAAACTGCATGTGGAAAAATAAATCAAGTTCTGCACCACCTACTGGACACATTCATAGGCCTGGGCCACAAGGAGATGTTGAGAGGTCCTTAGTCTACAGAAGAGTCCAAGGGCTGGTCTAATAGTAGTCAACAACTACTGGAAGGGTAGTAAAAAAAAAAAAAAAGACTTAGGGAGGTTAAGGAGATCATTAGGAAAAACTTTTCACTCTGAGGAAGAAATTTACAGTGAAGCCCTGTGTCAAGCTCTGCAGGTAAACTCCGAAATCTCCATGTTTGGAGGTTTTCAAGATGCAGTTAGGCAAAGCCACAGCTGACCTGACCTAGTGCTGGGAACAGTCCTGCCATTTTTATGGAGAAGTTGGACTAAATGACCTTCAAAAGTCTTTTAAAAAAACTTCTGTGATGAGCAGTTTTATGTTTTTCCTTCATTGCTCTACACTGACTAAGGATGTCTGAATCTACACCACGAATTCTGTCTGCTCCACAGATTAATAGCTTGAAAGATTAATAGCTTGGAAAATACCTTTTCTGTGGTTGTCTGGGAATCCTTAGCTCGCTCTCCTTTGCATTCAGAATGTACATCTTACCAAGACCTGGCTCCTGTGGTGAAAGCATTATGAACTGCAGCTCTCCATGCAAATTTGTATGCAAATTAAGATTTCACAGACAGCCTAATTACTGGAACATCCTATATTTCAGAAGTTTGGCCTTTCAACTTAAGTATGGGATACCTTTCTATAAAAAATCCAAAATTTACTATCAGGAGTGTTTGAACTGCATACCTCCAGAATAGACATCTTGCAGCTCATAAGCAGATGATAAAGGAGAAGGCTGTTGCTCCAAGGGATGGTGCAGAAGAATCAGCTCCAAAACCTAGTAATTTTGGGCTTCTCCCACACTTAACACCCATACATAGAGAAGAAGTGAGGAATGTGGAAAACTCCCCGTGATGACTTTCACCATCATCTCACCACAGGAGTGAGTTTGGTCCCAACTGTAATTCTGGAGAGATCTGTACATTTTTCTCCACCAGTAGGTTTATTTCTCTCATAATACCTTCCCTAAATAGTCACTTCTGCAAGAAGCAGCCAGGCACGGGTGATGCAGCTGGTACTAGAGTCACTGATCGAGTAGCGAGCCAGACTCTGCAAAACAGTTCTAGACATTCATTAATTTTAACACACTGCAGAATCTTCCTGATCAACACACATTACTGAAGGCAATTAGTTATTTTAAATAATTCTCACTTGATACAGAATTCTCAATTCTCTCACAGAATTCTCAATTCTGCCCAAATTGAATGCAATTTTGCTAGTAAAGAATAAAATATATTCCCTACCTAAGGATTTCCTACTTTCAAGTTCTAAAAGCCACTGGGACAAAACAAAAGAAAAAAAAAATCCCCAAAACAAGAAGGAAAAGTGAGGAAAGGACCAAATATCCTAAACATATCATTACCAAAAAATCCTTCCCTAATTCAGGTTGTAAACTTGATAAATGAAAACAACACATGTGATAGAAAAATGTCATACACTCAGAAGGTTTTATTTTTAAGACAAGAATTTACTTTAAAAAAAAAAAATAGAAGCAGGTGCTCCCTTTTTGTGTTAATGCCAAAAACTTCAGATTTTGGCACAAAAATAACAGAAATACAGTCAAAGAGAAAATATGCTTTAGTTATTGTACCACCTTAAAAGCTGTGTTCCTAAGTTGCCAGGAAGCTCTACTTACAGATTTGTTTGCTTTTCTTTTATTTGGTGAGCTTTCACCTATTCTGCTTTGTTATTCTCACTCTTTAAACCTGTATTTGAGGTAAGTAGGAAATTAACTGCCTGCATGCTTGTGGGTGTTCATCCAGAGCCTTTGCAACTTGTCTCATACAATTTACAATTTCTCCTGGTGTCGCAGAGACTATTGTAAAAGCACCTATTCAGGCTGCAAAGCACAAAAAAGTTAGAGGAAAATAGCACTAACAATTTAACTATAGAGTCTATCATGCTCTGTGTGCAAGCAGTAAAGGCAAGAGGGAGAAGTGAGGGGTTTGAAAAACCACAGGCACTAGCACAGCCCGCCTGTCTTTTTCCCTCTTTCTTCTCCCAGGCATCTTCTCCCCATCTGCATCTCTAGACTGCTGTTCCCATCTCCAGTTTCCTCTTCAAGACCGCCTTCTTTGTTAATCTACTTAACCTGTGTCATGTAGCAGAGAACATTTGTGTAAACTATTCACACCCGTAGAAGTTGTACGCAACTGGTAGCAGTTGGGAGTTTTGGATTATGGTTCATCTAAAGCCACTTTCTAAGTGTCACTGGTTTGGGCTCACCCCATGGGCTGTGGGTGCAGGGCTGTGGATGGTGGTAACTGCACTCTTAATCACCAGCCAAGGCACAGGCAGATGAACAGGCACCTGTCCATCTCTTGCTCTGCCTCTTCCACCATATGTCGTTGTCATTTCCTCAGATCTCAGTTTACCCCATTTTCCACCTCCCCAATGTCCTGTTTTAGCTGATGAACAGGTAAAGAGGTTTATTCTCTGTACTCAGTTGAATCTCTGTGGTCCCCTTTATCTACTCTGATGATCTGGAAGGCCTCGTACCACCCTTGTATCTTGTTGAGCTGGAGAAGGTACAGGACTAGTCTTGTGCCCTCCATGGTTGGAATTCCCAACCTGAATCCTGAAAGATACTGAAAGCTGACAAGCAGAGGCATTGCTGGGATAAGTCTCACAAGCATTAATATCACAGTGTAACTGTTGCCAGTTATTTATACATATCGCAATCCATATTGTTAGAGAACTAGTCTGAACTTTAACATTCACATCTCTCAAAGCATTTGGCTTAAATGGATACTTCATTTCCCCAAGTAAAAGGCAAGCTGAGGCTTGGTTGTTAAGTCCCACTCTCTTCAGTAAATCCTACAGTAGGAATTACTAATTTTCACTCTCTTTTCTCCTGAGCAAAGATGTTGCAATATCATTTATAGGGTGAAGCTCTGAATAGAACTATGGCTAATAGCTAGTATGTTCTCAGCACCCCACATAATAGTGTCAGACTCCTCAGGGATAAAATTTCCACTTTTTGGAAGAGCTGGGTTTTCTTTTGCCATAGAAATTACAGGCCTAAATTTACAGTTAGTCACTCTAACCATAAACTTTCTATAGACAACCACAGTGTTATGTAAATTGCACCAGCATCCTCCCCTTGCTCATCCTCTAAAATGTCATAATACTGGTCAGAATGGTTGAAACCTTAATTTGGTGGTTTCTGTGGAAAACATCTACAGTGATTTAATGAATGTATAGTCCTCTCCAAGCATACATTTTGCTTCCTTGTTGACAGCTCATTGGCCTGTGTAGAGCCCAGACATTTCTATTGAGCGATGCTCTAGCTCTTGTCTATTATTTCCACTAACAGCTGGACTCTCTGGCCCTTCCTGCCTTATAGCTGAAAGAGCTTAGGAAAATCTGGCAGGTTCTTTGACATGCAGCTAGGTTTTTTAATTCTTCATTACAGTTTAAAAATCCCTACTGGGGAATCAATTTTCTGATCATTCAAACTCAAGCAAGTCAAGGAGTCTATAATATTAATGGTGTCTCATTGCTTTAAAATTCAAAGGGGACAATATATGACACCATTTAAGAACAAAAGAGGGAGAATAGCCAAGGCAGTGAATGACACACCCCTTTGCCCAGAGTCCAGTTCTACCTTAAACACTGTAACTTCCTATGGCTGAAACTACTGCCACAACTGAAAATTCAGTGTCTTTGAAGGAGAAGACTTTTTCTTGTGCATAACTGACAGTATCTGCCCAATAAAAGAAATGACAGATTCTAGGGGTACCTACTTATGATCAGCATTAATTTTGCCACTGTTATGCTACTACAGAGAGAAATGATTTGGAGGGTTTTCTAAGGAGAAAAAATTAGGGGACATTATTAGGAGACATCTTCTCCCTCTAAACAAATACTCTCCACAGCAGTAATTATGTCTTTCAATAAGGTATGTTATATCAGTCAGAGACTAAACTATGGTCATGATGACTGTAATAAAGCAGTGAATACCATCTGAAATTATTCATAGAAACTGCAATAATTTAAATTTTATCTAAATTATGTAAACATATAGTAGTAGCCAAAAAAAAATCTAAACCCTAAATTCAAAAATATACACTGAAAAATCCCTAAACTATCAGCAATTTTCCACTGCATTAGAGACTGTGAGGAATCTGTCTATGCAATCTGAATTAATTTTGTTTGATTTTATGAACTCTATTTATTACTATGACCTTTGGTCTTCTTTAAAACTTTCTTTTTATGGTAGAAAAGGCAGTATCTTTGAATCTGAGACAGGAACATCAAAGACTGTCATCAAAGAGACAGGCTCTTCAAGAAGAACAAAAACAGACGAATCACCAACCACATCAGAGGGTTGAGCTGAACAAGTGAAGGACTGGAAAGACACGATCTCCCTAAGGATGCTGAAAGGCATCCCAGAAGTTGTTATGGTACAAGAGGGAGGAGTTTGATGTCAGATATTGTTTTTTGTACACATCTGTAAATCTCCTCAGTTTTCTGCAAGTAAAGCTACTGCAGGTTTAAGAAGGGCTTTAGCAAAGACTAGTTTATATGTTTTGTTTGGTCAAAGAATTAAATCAAAGACCTTACTTCAGTTTGTTCTGAGTAGTACATGCAAGGTGTTTGCAGTTATCCTGCAATGGTGTCAGGTCCAGCACTAATATGGACAGACAGGGAAGTGGTCTGTAGCCTTCCAGAAAGGGGTCACTGGAAATCAACATCATTTTTTCCCTTGAAGGTGTGCCTCCCATGCCAAAACTCCACTATAGAAAGTTCGAGCCTCGCATCTCAATTTTTGGCTCCAAGGCTTGGAAGCAATAGAATTTCTCAGACAGCTGCTAGTATTTTACCTTTTTATCATGGGAAGATCATTCTTTTATTAGTAATCTCAGTTCTGGAAACACCTTAAACTTTCACAAACAAATAAATGATGCACCTGAGCAGGAACACCACTATTCTGAACCATTCAAGTTGTTAAATATTATAGGCAGTTAATAACAGCATCTCACAGTACAGTGTGCAGGGCCTTAGTCCTATAGGTACACCTCTTACAGTGATAATGATTGCCTGGTATAGTAGGGAGTCAAATATAGTCCTTGTAAATTTAGTACAATATGACAAATGCATTTTCTGAAAGCACAAGTCCTTGGTGGTAGTAGGCTGTACATCTCACCACTTTGTGTTCTCATCATGTCAAATCCTTCAAGTTAAGTGACATTACACTCAGTCTGCACTAAACAGTGCTGGTGATTCACTAGGCTGCAGTCTTTTAAGTCTGTACTGAGCCAATACTCTGATAAGGGTTTATTAAAGAGCACCCTGATGATGCAGGTCTAATCCTTTGATGGGACCTACTGTTGGGATGTGACCCCTTTCTGATCATTTAACACTCATAGCAATTTTTATAAAAGCCACAGTTTGAGTCTTAGCTTGGATATCTTGGACAAATTCCAACTCAGGAACAGCATGTTGAAAAGTCAAATCCCCAGATAGTTTCAGTGATAGAAACCAAGTTACTGTTTAAACTGTTTATTATTGATGGAGACTTTAAGCAGTAGTTGTCATCTACACCGGAGGTAATTACCTCTGGTGATTCCATCCTTTACCAAGCACTCATTACAAATCTGTTCTCCATGTCTTAGGAGTATTATGAAAAATAATTATTTCAGTCACTGTGAAGGCACTGCAGACTTTTATGTAAGAGGTGCTATGTAGGTGTTAAGTATTATTGCATTGCTTGCAATGTTATTATTACATTGCTTTTTTTTTTTTTTTCAGTAGAGCCTCCACCTAGCTCCAGACTTGTTTAAAAATACAGTTCAGAGGCACCTAGAAAGGAATTTTCTCCATGGGCTGGGAAAATAGGGTGCTAAAATATTTTCATTTGTGAACCTGGTTTATAAATTCATAATCACTTGACTAACTAGAAAGCAGCATTAAAAGAAGCTTGTTACATTTTCCATTTTGTACACAATAAATAATATAAATAATAACTATAAATCATATTTAGAAAATGGAGTTATAAAATGCCTTTGGGAACAAAAAAAAAAAAAAAAAAAAAAAAAAAA